TAATAGTCATAGATAAATGAAAACAGATAATATAGTTATTTTCCATGGAATTCAATATTATTATACTTTTCTCTTAATAATTTTCAAATGTACATGTATAAGATTGTTTATAATATTTTTTTAACATTATTAAAAAATAATATAGAAATTTTTTTGAATATAAAAATATATCTAATAATTTTATATGAACAGCAAAATTAAATTTTATTTGTTATATAATTAAAAATCTTTGATAATTGAACTATTATTCTGCTCTTTATTTATTTCTAAAAAAATTTAATATATATATAAAATATTAGCAATATTAAATTCTTCCTTCTTAAATACGATACAATAAAACATAAAACGAAAACAAGAAGAATTAATATATTAAAAATTTTTTTAAATCTTGAAATATATTCCATTATTAAAAAAAAAAGAATTATTTCGAGATTATGATAGACAATCTGATGTAAATAATACGTATAAACAGATATAATTTTCGTGATAAGGCATGCTGATAAAGAATCAAAACAACACTCACATATAAGTTTGATTATTTATAGAATAATCATCAATCTATCTATTAGTACGAAAATCAACATGTATCTAATTGCAAGAAAAAAAAAATTAATTTTTCTGTTTTCATTAATTTATTTAATATTTTTTTATCTCATGTAAAAAATAGTTAATATAAAAATATTAAAATTTTTTTATAATTTGATTGGATTGATTTTAATATCTTATTCATAATTTTTAAATTTTAAACATTTAACTTATATTTTATTTTTATATTAATTAACGTGTAGAAAATATAATAGAAAATTATAATATTCTTTTTTTAAAATAAATTCTTAACAAATAAGAATGAAAAAGAAAATTTCAAATATTATTTTTTCTATGTTATATTTATTTCTTATATATAATATTTAATTTATCAATATTCAATTTAAATATTTGATATAATTTTTTTACAGCAAAAAAAGTAGCAATATGGTTGACCAAGCTGTATTGGATAAACTAGAGACCGGCTTCACCAAATTGTCTAACTCAGACAGCAAATCATTGCTGAAGAAGTATTTGACCAAGGAGGTCTTTGATCAACTAAAAACGAAGAAAACTTCCTTCGATTCTACTCTTCTAGATTGTATCCAATCTGGTATAGAGAATTTGGATTCTGGTGTTGGTATTTACGCTCCTGATGCTGAGGCTTACACACTTTTTGCTGACCTCTTCGACCCCATTATTGAAGATTATCATGGTGGTTTCAAGAAGACTGACAAGCATCCACCAAAAGACTTTGGAGACGTTGATTCTCTTGGCAATCTTGATCCAGCTGTTAGTATTGAAAAATATAATCTAGATATAATTTAATAATTAATTAAAGTTTATATAATTAATTTCGATATTTTCTATGTTATCAAATTTTCAGATAAATAATGCTTATCTTTATTCGAATAATAAAGATAATAATAATAGTTTTTATCATATAGTTTTTTTTAATCAGGTGAAAATTATAGAAAACTCTATCATTTGTAATATATTTTATATAATATATTTTAAATAGAAAAATATTCTCTTAAAATTTTTATGTATTGATTAATTTTTTTATTTTTTTTTATTTATTTATTTTTTTTTTTTCTTTAGAATGAATTCATCGTTTCCACTCGTGTAAGATGCGGTCGCTCCTTAGAAGGCTATCCATTCAATCCTTGCTTGACCGAGGCTCAATACAAAGAGATGGAAGAAAAAGTCTCTAGTACTCTGTCAGGCTTAGAGGATGAACTCAAGGGAACTTTCTATCCTCTAACCGGCATGAGCAAAGAAATTCAACAAAAATTGATCGACGATCACTTCCTGTTTAAAGAGGGTGATCGCTTTTTGCAAGCTGCCAATGCTTGTCGCTTCTGGCCCACTGGTCGTGGTATTTACCACAACGACGATAAGACCTTCTTGGTCTGGTGCAACGAGGAAGATCATCTTCGTATTATTTCCATGCAGATGGGCGGTGATCTTGGACAGGTAAAAATAAGTATCTTTTTAATTCTTTATCTTATATCAATACTTTATAATTTTGTAAGTTTAATATAATTAATTAAAAAAAAAAATCTTAACTTTTATAGGTTTATCGTCGTTTGGTACATGCTGTAAACGAAATCGAGAAACGACTTCCGTTCTCACACAATGATCGTCTTGGTTTCCTGACTTTCTGCCCAACTAACTTAGGTACTACAGTCCGCGCTTCTGTGCACATCAAGCTGCCTAAATTAGCTGCTAACAGGGCAAAACTTGAGGAAATCGCAGGAAAATTCAATCTCCAGGTTCGTGGTACTCGTGGAGAGCACACTGAGGCTGAAGGTGGCATCTACGATATTTCTAATAAACGACGTCTTGGTCTGACTGAGTATCAGGCTGTGAAGGAGATGCACGATGGAATCGCCGAGTTGATTAAACTCGAAAAGGAACTTTAAATAACGCGCCAGAGACAAAGCAACACGCGATTATTTCCCTTTATTCGTCCTTTAGACGTTCTTGATACATCGAGGATCCTTTCTTTGAAAAAGACATAAAGATCTTCATTATTACATCATTTTTGTAAAAACTGAAAGAAACGATGAACTATTCGAAAAGAAAATTCAAAGATTTTGTATCGTAAAAAATGAAATATTATAATTCGTTCTCGTTTCCAAACGTGAGAAAAAATTAAAAAATAAAAGAACTGTGACTCGTTCTGAAAAATAAACAAAGAAACAGCAATTTCTAAAAAACAATGGGGCATTTTTTAGATTCACGCATTTTGTTACGTGAAATAAAAAATAATAGATGATTTTTGTCTTCTAATTTTAAATAAATCCTAATCCTCGATGTGCTAAGATCTCTTCAACGCAGCTATAAGCGCGTACTTCTTAGAGTTCTAAACGGAGTCGATGAAAGCTTGGTTCACGATGAAATAATTTCTAGAAAGATTTAGTTCGTCTAGTCGAAACCAAAAAAAAAAAAAAA